CTCCCGCTGGCTATGTAACGTCGACGTCGTAAAAACCTGGGCGTCCACACACCCGGCCACCGCGGCAGCATCAGCAATATTAGGTGGTGGCAACCGGGTCAGCCCATCTCAGCCAAACAGAACCCACCGAACGTCCACCCCCTATTCAGTGGGTCCAGATGTAACGAAACCGGGGCCTACCAGCAATGTGGCCTAGGGTACACAACACCAACCAATCGGGATCGTGACACGCATACGAAAACTTCACGGCTAGAGAGTTTAAAGACCGGACATTGGACGGAGCGGCAATCACTAAGGCGGAGAAGTTGATGACAATACGTTTCACAGCTGGAGCAAGACGCTTACATAGAAGTTCAATCGGCTCCTGACTCGGATGGCGAGCTGCAGAGCTTCCGGCAAGGTGTAAAATCTCGGAAGTGATAGGCATGTAGGGTTGGTTGCTACTGTCTGGCGCTGAATAGTTGGCTCTTTGGTCTGCTGCGCTAGTCATAGACTTCATGGTCAATTGGGGCATTGCAATGGTGCGGTTTGTCCGAAAAAGGACAAGGAGTAGTAGACGAGAGTCCAAGGCAATTATACCTCATAGGGCTTTTCTGGTGTTGTTCATGTGTGTAGATAAGGGCCTGGGGACTTGATTGGTTCAGAGAGTGTAAAAATAACGGGCCCGGTTGGTTGCTTGACAAGAAATAGCAGGCTATGTACCTACCAATAAAGGCTCGAGCGGCCGTTCATGGACTGATCTGTCACTCGCTTTCAATTGGGATCTTATGAACAAGTTCTCTGTCATACTAGTACTCTTCATCACATCGATGAGTGCCAAAGCAGCTTGATATTGGGGGTCCAGAGAAGGGCTGGAGCAACTACACTTTTTCGGATGCGAATCGGACGTGGGGGGCAGCCTTATAAACAACGCAGAGGTTAGAAGGGCGTGGGACAGTTTCTCTCTCCCGCTTTGCAAATACGGATAGTAATATCTAAAGCTTCGTTACCTAGTTAGGATTGCAGCAGCTAGCTTACCCCACAGCGCAAAGGAGTCTTTTAGTCGTCGACAGAGTACTTCCCCTCAGCCAGCTCGTTGATAATCCTCTCCACCGTGCCCAGTGAGCTTAGATCCTCGTTTTCCTTCTTCAGCTCGGCCGCCCTCTTAGCGTACTTGCCGTCCTTGAGGATCTTCTCTACGCCCGCGAGGATGGCTTCCTCGGTCGGTGTCTGGGTGTGCAGATTTACTGCCACGCCGGAGTATTCCGCTCGTTGGGATACTTCGCCCTTGTCGGCCTGCAGTTTTAAAATCATATGTCAGCATGAAAACCGTGATGGAACTTCCCATCCATCCACGCAGGGTGACTGGAACTCGGTAGGCACTTACATCCATCCCGCTGAGAACCTGCGGAACCCCGTTCATGACACCGTGCATATACCCATTATACCCCGCGTTCGACACAAACAAGTCCGCAAACTTGAGTACCAGATCGTACGGGATAAAGTCAACCACCTTCGTGTTGTCGGGCAACTTCTTGATCCCACCAGCTTGCTCATCCACCGGCAGTGTCGCGCCGCGCGCACCCAGGGTAACCACCACGATCAAATCATCCCGGTTGGACAGAGCGCGGATCGTAGGCGTGATGAGCTGTGTATAGTCCATACTAACGGTCCCCTGCGTCACAAAAACGACTTTCTTTCTCTCCGCATCCGGCAGGGCAGCGTTATCCGTGATCAACGGCCACCACTCGGGGGGCTGGTAATCAGGGCCGAGCGGCTTGAGCGGCAGGCCACCAATGTACTTGTACCGCTTCGACACGTCTGTCGTGTGCGGGTAATCCGTGCTGGCGCTCGCGGGGAAGAGCGTCACGGCGCCGATCTCGAGGACCGTGTCCCACAGCCAGCCCGTCATTTCCTGGGTTGAGCCGAGGTCCTTCATGATGGCGTTGTAGTGGTCGTTGAGTTCCTTCTCGCTGGGCTTCATGCTCGCTCTGATCTGTGCCCACAGGGCGATGTTTTCCTCGGTGAGGGCGTAGGGAAGACTGGGGCCGAAGGGCGGGATCATGGGGTCGGAGGCGAAGTTGTTGGATGTGCTGAAGTTGACGATGGGCGGGAGGGCGTCGAAGCCATCAGGAAGGGGCGCGCCATACAGAAAGGGGAGGAGGCCTTGGTAGAGCACCTCGTGGAGGATGACGATGGGTGCGGAGGGATTCTCTACGCGGGCGCGCGCGAGGGTCTCCTTGAGGAGTTTAAAATTCGGGGGGATGGCTTCGCCGAAGACGGCCTTGAAGTCGGAGATGATGCGCTTGTGCGGGTCCGGGATTTGTTCGCGCTCCTGGAAGTATTCGAGCCGCGGCCAGTAGGTGTTTACGACGAAGTCAACGCCGTTGTGTTCGGCGGCTTTTTTGAAATCTTGATACCTTTGTGGTTAGACAGATAGAGGGAAAGATGGCGGATGGAGGTTCAACCCTTACCTGGCGAGGAGATAAAGTAAACTTTGTATCCCTTCTTGGAGAGATGGTTACAGATCTGCGCAGGGCCGCCAGAGTGTCCAAACGCAGGGAAAGCAGCCGCGACGATGACGGGCTCCACGCTGGCGTGTTTGCCATTGGTTTGCGCCATGGTGAGTGGTGATGCTGAACTTGGGTGGTGTAACTTGGCGAAATGGGGAGAGAGGAGGACAAGGCTTTGGCAAGATAAGGCAGCACGGGGTCAAAGGGCGGCGCTCTTCTTTATATAGAATCTGTTTGTGACTGACGCTTTGAAACATAATTAGAGTCCGACACATGTAACCCAAGAAATCTCGTCCGTTGGTTCGACCGACGTGGTATCAATTTGCAGCCGACGCTCGGACTGGTTCATCTGAAAGAAGGACTGCAGATGCCAGGTTCCTGATCTTCCCGTTGCGGCTCGCCCGCGTATAAAAGTCAACACTGCCGAAAAGGAACACGAAAATCGACGTTGGCGATTCGCAGCTTACAAGGATAGGCACGCATCCTTGTTACGTTTCAAGGTTCGACTGCTTTATGTCTCCACAAATTGGCTCTTTGGTCATCTATATTCGGTGCGGATGCGAGCGAGGGATTGCGCCGCTGACATGCGAGCACAGATTGGTGAGACTCCGCTGACTAGGGTGTGACTGATGATACGGGACTGCACGGATTTAATTAAGACCCCGAAATGCTCCCTTTCCGATTTCATTTGTGTTCGGATCTGGGGCGCTGTTCTTTGGGGGCGGGAGTGTGTTTGCGTGATACGCCCATAGGCACAACATGCATATTTACAGTCGTATTCCTAGCCCGCTTGTCTCCCGGGGTGCTGGTAACCTAAAGTGACTCATTCCGTATTTCCGAGCCGCTGAGTATGGGTTGAACTGCAACTCGGACGGCACCCACTGCAGCATCTGTCACTTGCTTATGTGAACAAGCGGTATGTCATGTTACATTCCGTGTGTTCTTCGAGGAACCTCATATGCGCAACTCTGCGGGCCGATCACGTTTCGGGGTGTTGACTGTGTCCGAATGTAACCAAGGCACGGTGAGGTATTTGATAGGCTGAACATGCGTTGTCGGGGATCGGAAAAGGTAATGGAGCCGGCGGAAACTCAATTCTCACCGCAAGTCAATGCGGTCATGTTGCTCGATAAGTAAACACGATGGGGTCAGCCTGAAAGACAGATCTATTGAGGTGTTGAACAAGATAAGAATTTGGGCAAAGCCCTCGGAATGACGGATCGGCATTGCGATATCGCAGCTTTGTACTCACTTACACATGCAAGACACCCTAAATCACCTGTTGAGTAACTGTGCCCCCGCAAACTCGGGTGAGAAACATGGAGTAGGTCGGACCTATCCTGTTATAGACCATGCAAGCCAATCGTGACATTGGAGTTATAAACCTGATTCAGCTTGACAATGTGATACGAGAACAGCATATTGGCACTTTGAGGTGAGGTCAGAGAGCGGACTTTATATCAAAAGGAGCAAAGTGATCTCAAGCAGATATTCTGAGCCTCGGATTTTACCTAACCCATTTCAGCCTGATCCGGCCGAGAGCTCGATCTGACACACTGCAGCTAATGGTTTCGTCCTCCAAGGGGTGCCCTCGGCTTCTCGCCACGTTCCTTGCCGCCAGACATGCTGTACTTCTGGCCAACATCCTCGGGAATCTCTCCACCAGCGCTCACGACCTCTCCGAGACCAGTTGAGCTGATCGAGTTGTTGTCCATTTCGCCGCTCAGGCCCGGCGCGCCCTTCTTCTTTTGGGCATCCGATGCGACAGAGAGGATGATGTTTGGCTTGGCAGCGTCTTCGGGGACTGGGGATTGGATTTGAGGTTAGTACAATGGAAAAACTACGAGGAGAGTGGAGGGGAATCATACCCTTGGTGCCCTCCTTGGCCATGTCGAAGAGGTCTCCTCCTTGCGGATTCAAGTCAGACATGACGGACGACGATTAGTTCAATCAAATCTTGGGTTTTTGACAACACACAAATTTGTTAAATGGAAGCTCTCGTTCAGGTTGTTTCATTGATCGCCATGAGAGGTGGTCTTTAATTGACGAAGCAGTGACGTGAATGACATCACCATTTCCACGTGCGAACTGCCGACACAATGACGTGTAGCAGGACAATGGCATTTCGCGTGCTTTATCCCCACACGGCACAAATACTTAATTAATTTATCGTTCCCCTTTTCTTTCCATAAATCTTCCTATCTTGCGTGAGGATGCTTGCCTGAATGTCGACATTTCGGTCACGCAGGTGAACATCTCCATCTGAATGGAATTGAGTTAATGGTTCCCGTCCAAGGTCCAAAAAAAAGGGGATGAGTTCAAAAATGCTAATTTTAAGGTCACACAAGGAAGGAATAAAATATTTGAAAGGAACCAATAGTGCTTGATAGGCAATCTTTCCTTTTTGATTCCGCAATCCTTTGTAAAATGGAGGTTTTCGGAGAGTGGAGCGTGCAGGGATCACCCATTAGGATTAAGGTTTCCGGCGCCAAAACCAACCCCTGGCAAGCCTGCTTAGCATAGTGGCTAATGCGTTGCACTTGTACATATCGCGACGATATGCAAAGATCACAGGTTCGATTCCTGTAGCAGGCAGCCAATTCACATCATTTTTATTTTACCTCTTATAGCTCGTCTCTTCGTTATCTTGATTCTTTTGTCGGGAGACATTCCTTGTAATACGGAAAATTGAAGGGGTAACTTGAAAGCATTTCAAATCGTGTTCTCTTGTTTTATGATAATGGGCTCCTCATGTTAAAGGCGATGGAGATGGGAATTCTTACACTACAAAATTTGCGAGAGCCCCGTATCCCCATATAGACTGACAAACCCATATGCCTAAACAGAGCAGCTTGTAAAAGTAACCCCCGTAACAGTTGCCCAGCTCAGAAAGAGAATTGCTGCCTCAACGCGTCGCCATGGTCAGTTTTGATCTTGGATGTGCAACAGACATATTAATTTTTAAAATGAAGAGTTGCTCTAGAGGCGAGCGGGACAAAGTCGAGAGAGGGTCTCCGTTGGAGAAGGTCAGGGGTTAAAGGCAAATATTGATTGGGTGGCCATTAAGAGAGGAAAAAGACTTTGGCAAGATGTGTATCTACCTATATGCTAACTTGATTTAGGAAAGAGAAGCCTCGGTGCGCTGTTGAGTCCAGTTTCAACAGCTTCAGTGCCTCGTCCAAGAATGGGTTATTCTCTCCCTCGTGTTGCATTGAACGTGCAATGTCAAATGTGGTTTTATAGCCATCATCCCAGCACAAAGAGCGACGATCAGCTCCCCCTGCTAGCAAAATCTTGACTGCTTCGAGACTATTCCATGTAAGTGGTGTAGTAGACTTAACAACTGTGGCCAGCGCATCCGTAAAAGTACTTTTCGCTTCCATGTCAGTACCTCGATCAACCACAAGGCGTACCAGATCCGAGTCCTTATGATAATCCCAGTCCATGAGGGCACGGCTTGATGCAGTGTCCAGCATCCGCGTCTTGTAGTTGGTCTCCGCGCCCCTGCGAATCAACAACTGACAACGTTGAAATGTCGACGAAAAATTGCTTCCCAAACGGCTGGAAACCCACAGATCTTTCCTCAATGTCCACGCCATTGTCTAGAAGCAGTCCTACAATCTTCTCAAAGCCAAGAGATGCGGCTAGAAATAGAGGTGTGCGCTTGCCCCCATCCCTTTTGTTGGCGCAACCGGGGAAGTTCACGAGCAACCACCTGACAACCTCTTCGTCCCCTTTACAAACGGCTGCTATAATGCCCCCGTTGTGGTAGGTGTTAAGGTGCCGCTTGTAGTTGTCTAGCCGCCACGCCAGTTCAATCTGGCAGTGTGAACAGATCCTTTTCTTCCTTGAATGGTGGTGCACCTGTTGGTGTCGTTGCAGGTCCTTTGTGGTGGCAAAACGGACAGGAGGGGTCTTTAGTTGGCACTTAGTGTTGTCACAAAGGTGCTTCTTGACGTGATTGCGCCGATGGTCCCTACAGGCAGTATCGTGCCAACAAAGTCAGGTGGATTTAACATGAGGCCGGTACGGATCGCAGGAGAGCACAATACATACGTAAGGTAGACAGTCAGGTAGGTGTCGAGGCTCACTTACCAGAGAGTATGTCTTGATGAACAGACCTTGCCGCACTCCTCACAAGTCACATCTTTAGACATCATTTCAGGGTTTGACTGACACAAACTACCACCGACCACAAAATCATTCACCTCAATCAAGTGAGTTATTTGTAGCGTGCCTAGTCTGAAGAGGTTCAAATCCTTGTTCCTGACATCCCTCTTACATATACATCTTAAAAGCTGGGCAGGTGAGTTCAAACTCGGGTTTGTAGGCAGTAGCGGTGAAAACTTCGCAGGTCCGCGTGTTTTAATTGGCGGTTGGCCGCCTTCCGCCACCCTATACCTAAATAGGGTGTGGTGGTTTGCCTCGCTTTTCCTGCTGTGGAAGTTTCGTAGGTCCGCGTGTTAATTGGCGATTGGCCGCCTCCTTCCACCCTGATACCTCTGAATAGGGTGGTGGCTTTTAGGGTGGTGGCTTTTAGGATGGTGGCTTTTAGGGTGGTGGCTTTTAGGGCGGTGGCTCTTAGGGTGGTAGTGTTGCCTCACTTTCCTGCTGTGGGACCACACCTTGCCCCAGACACCCGATCAGATAACGCAGCGACAGACGACATGGTCGAGGTCGATGACTGCACACCTGTTCTGCATCGTTGTTGCTCCTTCACAGATTTTTTCACCTAACATCACACTCCCACCGGCTTTATTCCCTGCCTTGATCTGCGACATCCAAGAGAACCTCGAACAGCCCACAGCGTCCAAGGGGCCGGAGTGAACATGGCTTCACAGAACTTTGGAATTACTTACGGAGTCAACGACACTATTGACTCCTTCGGTGTCAATAGCGGCGATGATGGGTTTGCAAGCACAGGCATGTGGCCTGATATGACGCTTGCGGTGGCTCCGAATCCGACAGCTCTGAAGATGTCAAGCTTGTGAGTGTTTTTTTTTTTTTCTGACTCCACTTTTGAGGCCCCCGACACGAATTCAACACACGTCCAATTTCGGCACCGCCATGCGGGCCGCCAATGACAGTGCCTTCCCCACGGGGGAGAACCTGGTCAACGGCGTTGCTCTCGGATCCGGTCAATACTTTCTGGGCACTGGCCTCCCCCTCGCTTCGGAGACCCCTAACCCTCTGATCAACTTTGCTGGCAACACTTTGTCTGGGGTCGATGCAAACGCTTTCATGCCAACTACCGACGACTTGGGTCAGCTACTCTCATTCGAAGTCAACCCGCCTCCTCCTTCCATCGACACCCACGGCGTCGACACCAACATTGCTGGGGGAAAGCCTGCCTGCATTTGCGGAAAGTCGTTCACCAGGGCCGACTCCCTCCGGCGCCACATTCAGTTTGCCTCCCACCGCGCCCGCGCCACCCTGGCCTTCTCGGTGACAAGCGGCACCCGTGAAGCTGCCGATTTGTTCCCGTGCGTGGCTTGCGACAAGCACCGCGGAAACGAAAGCTTCACCCGCCGTGACCATCTGCGTCAGCACTTGAGGGTGTACCACAAGATGAATAAGGAGTTTGTTGATGAGCATCTCCGCGCTTATCACTAAGATCAGATCCCCCCATTTGTTGGTCGCACACCGAAGCGAGGTGTCGGCCTGGGGTCAGTGGGAAAGGTTCAAGATGACACAGGGAGAAGATTGCTATTCGTCGTTTTGATTTTTTGGGGATTTTGATTTTGATTTTGATAGTTAGACTGAAGTACTCCATCGCTTTTGAACACCACTGCGGCTCCACCGACCCTTCTTTCGTGTTGACATGCGGCTCAAGCTACTGGCGGCATGGACGGCAAGTTGGAATATCCTATGCGTTTCGATCCTGGGTTGGAAGATGGGTAGTATTTATCTGCTCGGTTGTGCGGTGATCATAATTAAGGGATTTATTGGGTTTGGGAATGGCATTGCTCTCAGTTGCAAGCACCAGGTGACTCTTGGCACTCTTTTTATAGCGCCAGTGAAAAAGGCTGCGCACAGTTTTGAACGGTATGGGAGATAAAATATTGTAATGCGAATAGCTTCAGCAATAACAGCCCAAACGGGCTCCTAGGCTCTTCAAGTCGAAGGTGATGGAAGTGAGACTTATTACATTGATTGCAGAAGCGGGCTAACAGCTCTAGAGCCCAGTATCCCCATCGAGACTGACGAACCCATATGTCCAAAAAGAGCAGAAGATAAAGGTAGCCCCCGCAACTGTCGCCCAGCTCAGAAACAGAATCGCTGCCTTCATCATCACGATTTGTTAGTCCAAGTTTTTTGTCTTGCTGGCCCGACACGAAGTGAAAACAACAGTGACCGTAGAATAAACGTACCTTGCTCTCCCCATCAAAGTCGCGGCCATCATACAGTGGCGTGCACACATATATCAGCAGTCCCATCAAGAATCCAATGACCGAATATGCCATGAGCATCATGGGAGCTTGCCATGTGAAGACCATCTTCCACCGAATTGCGACGCGGAGGGCTTGGGTTGGGGGTGGTACTATACTTGAAGCTACCATCTTACCCTTTTGGTTTCTCGTCCCAGTGCTGCTGTCGCCACTGGCACCTGTGGTACCACTGCTAGTAGCTGCAAATACAAAACTCTGCGTGTTATCGTCAACCGACCATTGTGGATCAGCCGCTGTGGCTATATCTCGATTTTGACCGACGTTCCCGTTCCTCCTTCTCCTCTCTTCATTCTCGTATTTCGCGTCATCCCAGTACAGACGAGATAATCGAGCAACCATCGCCACCTCGTTGGAGAGGGCCGGTCGGGTAGGTGAGTTCTTGATGGTCGAAAAGACGAAGGAAAACGACGACGAGAGGAACAGCGCGCTCAGCGAGAGAACTAGGCTCGCGTACCACGCCGCCGGGCCTAGCCAGTGCTGCGTTTCCCGGGGCTGCCATGAGAAGCAGCCAATTACTGCAGCAGAAAGAAGAGTGCTCTGTTGCGGTATGGACTCGAGTCAGTTCACTGGCACGTCAGAACAGGGAAGGGTTCGGGTTAACCCCTTCTTTGACCCCATTACCGTTGAAGAGCTCGGCAATGACTCACCGCGACTTGAATGAACTGAAACTCGCTCGCTTTCTTCTCCCGCCAATGCTGCAGCCGACGCGAGATGACATCGGGTTGTTCTCTGTCCTTGAGACTCCGGGCAATGGAGAGCATGGGCAGCAGCGTGTTCTGCCGGTAGAAGCGATAGTACGGGAGCGTGATCCCATTTGAGAGGACGAAACCTATGATCCTGGCGACGATGCTGGCATCTTTTGCGATCTTTATCTCACGTCCCTTTGTTAGCAAATGCCGAGGAGTCGGATTGACCGTCAAGGTGCATGGAATGTCGGATGAATCTCTTCGTCGCGTGACTTACTCTCTTCGCTGAAAGTGAAGTGTGAGTTCGCTCCGACACTGGCACTGGCAGGCTTGTTGACACAGCTGTCATGATGGGATTTGTCCATACTTCGATAGTGGTACCGTCAGTGATGACGTTGGCGGGAAGCGCGGCACGAGAAAATGAAGTGTTTGGGCGGGCCACTTTCTGCGACCACCAATC